GCAACCACAAAATAGGAGCCAAAACAGATTACAACATCATTCAGCATTCCTCCATTTTATCCTCACAACAACCCTGTGGGGTAGGGTCAGGTTAAGGAGTGACTGGCCCAGGGTCACCCAGTGAGCTTCCATGACAGAGCAGAGATTTGAACCCGAGTCTCCTGCATCCTGCCCTGACACACTATCTCCTACACAAGGGGTCCCCAATGTGGTATCAATGGGCACCATGCCACTCACCAACATCCTTCTTGGTGGCCACCAAGTGTTTTTAGAAAGTGGGTGGCCTAGGTGGGGCTCTTGCACAGGGGGGCTTCTGACTTGCCACTAAAGATATAATCAGCTACATTGCCTTTGGAATGTCCTCCCCCTTGACACTCATCTGGCACCTCACTTTCTTCTTTACCCAGACTTTTAAGTAAGAGCTTTTATCTCTTTTATCTGTTCTGTGGACTGCTCTGACTCTGAGGATCATTCTTTTCAATATTATTTTGACTCCTCTGTGGCCAGAGAATCTGTACAAATTAAGAACATAAGAACATAAGAACATAAGAGATGCCAATGTTGGATCAGGCCAAAGGCCCATCCAGTCCAACACTCTGTATCACACAGTGGCCAGAAATACCAGTGCCATCAGGAGGTCCACCAGTGGGGCCAGGACATTAGAAGCCCTCCCACTGTTGACCCCCCCCCAAGCACCAAGAAGACAGAGCATCACTTGCCCCAGAGCCCCTATCTATACCTTGTGGCTAATAGCCACTGATGGACCTCTGCTCCATATGCTTATCTAATTCCCTTTCGAAGCCGTCCATGCTTGTAGCCGCCACCACTTCCTGTGGCAGTGAATTCCATGTGTTAATCACTCTTTGGGTGAAGAAGGACTTCCTTTTAACCGTTCTAACCCGACCGCTCAGCAATTTCATGGAGTGCCCACGAGTTCTTGTATTGTGAGAAAGGGAGAAAAGTACCTCTTTCTCTATCTGTTCTTTCCCATGCATAATCTTGTAAACCCCTCAGTCGTCGTTTCTCCAAGCTAAAGAGCCCTAAGCGCCTTAACTTTTCCTCATAGGGAAAGTGTTCCAACCCTTTTATCATTCGAGTTGCCCTTTTCTGCACTTTTTCCAAAGCTATAATATCCTTTTTAAGGTGTGGTGACCAGAATTGCACACAGTATTCCAAATGAGGTCGCACCATTGATTTATATAGGGGCATTATGATATTGGCTGATCTGTTTTCAATACCCTTCCTAATAATCCCCAGCATAGCATTGGCCTTCTTTATTGCAGTCACACACTGTCTCAACATTTTCAGTGAGTTATCTACTACAACTCCAAGATCTCTCTCTTGATCAGACTCTGCCAGTTCAGACCCCATCAACGTGTATTTATAGTTAGGATTTTGGGCTCCAATGTGCATCGCATCACCTTGCACTTGGCCATAATGAACCCCATTTGCCATGTTGACGCCCACTTGCCCATCTTTGACAGATCCCTTTGGAGTGCCTCACAATCCTCACTGGTTTAAGCACATTTAAGCACATTTATACACACAGTACATTAAAACTCAGTCTGGCCGAGGTCATTTTCTTTTAAGATCCACTGATTTCAACAGGAGAGATTGTCTGGGCAATCCCAGATGGAGTTACACCCTTCTAAACTCATTGGCATCAATCGACATAGCCCAGTGTAATTCAATTTAGGATCACACTGGTAAGTACATACTTAACGTCCCCCAGTGGAATCCAAGAGGGACTGAAAGAGACTTCTCCTATGCTAGAGGCTTAAACTTCCATAAACTCAAGCCCACTTCCTGCAACAGACCAGGTCTAAGCCTTTAAAACAAAAATCATCTTCAGACTTGGTCAATCAGGGTTACCTATTAGCAAAGAAGGACTATGGGAAACAACAAGCTACTGTGAGAAAAAGAAGGACCAACATCTCTTAGGGTTGTGTTTCCCAACCTATGGGCTGGGCCTGGGACCTAAAAGGAAGCCTCTGAAAGTAGATCTCAGGCCAGCCCTCCCAGTGGCTGCCCCTGCCTTTTCCATTGCTCTTTTGTATTTTGGAAACCAAGACCTGACCCTGGAAACATTATCTTCCACGTCATGCATTAATTAGGTGTTTTTTCTTCACTGCATATACATGTTGACCAAGTAAAACATGCCCTGGTGGTTACTAGACTGGGTTTCTTAGAATCTTAGTGGGGATTAGAGAAGTATTGGAGAAGAAGAGGATGATCCAAGGCTGGGATGTTAACTTCCATATGCAAAGGCTATGTATGTCAGAATGCCATTTGCTTAGGTTTATAGTGCAGCAGCTGCACCGTTCGTGCAATGTTTGTTGGTTTCTCAAAACTGTCTAGTTAGCCACTGTAGAAAATGGACTGCTGAACTAGATGGATATCAAGATAATAGTTTCCTTGGGCACCAAAAAAATTCCCAGCCTTGGATGGGTTAATGTACCAAGTAAATTTAGACTTATCAGTCAACATATCAAAAAGGCGGTCACACACACTAAATAATCCAGTTTCAATCCACTTTCCAACTGTGTCAACTGGCAAAATCCAGTTGGAAAGTGCATTGAAAGTGGATTATTTAGTGTGTGTGACTGCAGAGCACATACCACTTAAAATTCTGCTCCCAGCCACTCCTTCACTCCCTGTGAAAATTTATTTCCCCAGAATTATACGCATCTCATGTGCTAGTGCTGCTCCGCTTCACTTCTTAACATGATATTCAGTTTATCTCTCTGCAACTTCTTACAATTCTTTGCTTATTCTCTGAACATATATCCACTTTTCCCTTTTAGTTTTAAACACATTTTTCTTTGGGCAAGGATGAAATTTAGTTAAATTTCATTAAAAAATTAGTCAGCTTGGTGTAGTGGTTAAGTGCGCGGACTATAATCTGGGAGAACCGGGTTTGATTCCCCACTCCTCCACTTGCACCTGGCTGGATGACCTTGGGCAAGCCATAGCTCTGATAACAGCTGTTCTTGAAAAAGAGCAGTTTCTGCCAGAGCTCTCTCAGCCCCACTTACCTCACAGGGTGTCTGTTGTGGGGAGGGGGAGGGAAAGGAGTTTGTAAGCTGCTCTGAGACTCCCTTGGGTAGTGAAGGGCGGGGTATAAATCCAATCTCCTCTTCTCTTCTTCTTAACATTTTCTGATATGATTAAACTCAAATTCATTTTTCCCCCTGCACACACTTTGGGTTGGATTTGATTATTCTGTTCCATTAATGGTGGATTTTTGTGTCAGCAAAAGAGATCTGTGATCCACCAAGGGAAGGCTCTTTATGCTGGAGGAAGTTTCCATCATTAGCAGAATAGAGCCAAAGGATTCAACCCATTCGACATTTAAAAAAAACCCAACCACCCAAGAGACCAAAGTATGTTGGTGCAGAAAGAATATGAAAATTAATCCTGGTACGTCAGAGGGCTGCCAGCAAACATCTGGCCATCCCAAATGGCTGGATCATACTATCCAAGAGGGGCCCTTTGGAATACCATGCAATGTTGCAAATGATACTGTAGTCATAAATGTTAATGCCTGTTAAGAAAACCAGTGGTCCATCTAGTCCAGCATCCTGTCTCACACAGTGGCCAACCAGTTCCTCCCGAGGTCCAGCAACAGGGCACAGAGGCCGAGGCCTTCCTCTGATGTTGCCTCCTGGCTCTGTATTCAAAGCTTTGCTGCCTCTGAACATGGAGGCTCCCTTTAGTTAGCATGGCTAGTAGCCACTGACAGACCTCTCCTCCTTCAGTCTGTCTACAAGAACATGGTTCTGCCCCACCATCTTCTACAACATTGCAAGGGCTCCAGGGGGGAGAACACCTTGGTGATTCCACAAACTTTTCCACAGGCACCCCTAAAAATCCTACCACTCTTTCAGCAAACCCTGAAACCTTCCCACTTAAGGAACCTGCCTCCTTACATGGCTTTGGTAGTGAAGCCAAACATTACAGGACATAACCAGGTACACTCTACAGATGCAAGCTGTTATCCAGCACAAGCTGTACAAAAATCAGCAAGCCCAGGCAGGAAAACTCCCCCTCATGCAAGTGAACCAATACTGTACACTCTACCTAGGAGAATTATTACTGAAGGGGAAAACCCAGCCAATCCCTGAATGAGGATGTCCTCCTTGAATTGCATACACTCTCATGGGATAAAGAAGAGGACATATGGTTTGAGGTTGTTTCAGTCCACCATTCCGTGTCCAGAACACCTGAAGGAGAGACCACACCTAAGTGGTACAGCATCTGCTTTGCATGCAAAAGGTTACAAGTTCAGTCTCCAGCATCTCCAGTTAAAAGGATCAGGCAGTGGTTGAAATGAAAGACTTTTGCCTGAGACCCTGGAGAACTGGTAGCAGTTTAGAGTAGAGGTAATACCGATCTTTGCTAGACCAGCAGTCTGAGTCAGCATAAGGCAGTTTCATGTGTTCGTGTGCAAAGCCTTCCTCCAGTAAAGAAACTTTACAGGGAGCCATAAGAAACAGACATGAGCAGCACTGAGCCCTTTGCCACAGAACCTCATGCAAAATCAGGAGGACTAGAAACCTTTTCTTCTAAATGAGAGCTGAAGTTCCTGCGAATACAGTGTGCGCAAGACTAACAACCCTGAATTTTTGCCAGAGTCTTAACATGTCCATCTTTACCCATAAAGATGTCTCTGTATTCTATGAGCAGGGAGAGGGAGATGGATGATCAGACTAACAATCATACCCTGAAGAAGTGAGGTGAGCAGAGATCGTATCTGAAGAAGTGAGCAGTGACTCACAGAACCTCATACCCTGCCACAAATTTTATTATTCTTTGTGCTACTGGACTGTTGCTCTTTTCTACTGTATAATACCCCTAGTCCTGTGTGCCTTTTTGTCTCCAAAGCCAGTTTGCTTTCTCTGATAATACAAGTTGCTTAAGCCAGCATCCAAGGTCCATCTTCACCTCTATTACATCATAAGGCCATTTTTGCCAAAGTCAACAAGAGTCCTCATCCTTACCTGCCACAGCAAGTCCCTTCCATTGATGGAGTCCTGCTGCTGCTGTGCAATGGTGACCCCCAGCACCAGGGTGTGGATGCCACAGGAGATGGCCGAGATAAGGACAATGGGCGTGAGGCGCAAGGGGAGGGTGATGAAAAAGGAGAAGACAAAGAAGGCCTGCCAGCCAACCGTGTCGCTGGCCTCATGGAAGCGAGCAAAGCTCAGGCCCAGGTAACAGAATATCTGAGCCACTATGAGTATCCACAGGATATAGGGCATGAACTTCCGGGTGACTCGATCAGGCAGCAGTTCATACTTGCATAGGACAAACAGGAGGATCTGGAGAGCCAGGCCCACTGAGGCCGCCAGGGTAGGTGGCAGCTTGTCTGAGGTGTACAACACAGTGCACATGATGATGACATAGCAGTCAAAAAGAGCAGCAAAGACCACCAAGACCAGCAAAGTCTCATGGCGCTGCCGCCGGAAGTAGGTCTGGTAGAGGTTTTCCAGAGACTCGGGGGCAAACATGAGGCGCATAAAGCGTGGGAGACAGAGGCATGAGCCAGAGCTCCTCACCGTCACTTCATGGGTTCGGCCTACCCCATGTTCAGGGTCAGAGGGCAAGCTGACCGAGTAGTCTGCAGAATACTCTGCTGAGTGTTCAGGCTCAGAGAAGGCCCTATTCCGAGGCATCCTGCTTCTTTTCACCAACCGATCCTCTGAGAATTTGTGAAGAGGATCTGCCTACGGCCAAGAGTCACCTCAGTGAAGGCTCAGGTCCCATTAACACAAGGCCACAGGCAGATCAAGGCATGGAGGCATCAGGAGTTCGGTTTTTTCTCCAGTTCCTTCCTGAAACACTGGCATATGTGACGTCCTCCTCAGTCAGGCTCACACAGATCCCTAATGGAGAGAGGAACATTTTGGTAGCATAGAATACGAGGCCTCCAGATACCCCACCTCTGGCCTAGTTCAGCAAATGCTGAAATCACAAACCACTGGGCAGAACCCCTACTATTTCTTCTGCCACCCTGTTCACACTTCACTCAAATGTCTAGTGCTAAAAATTATAAAGGACCGTTATCTTTAAAGAAAATATATTTGGTCTGGCACTAGAGAAACGCTACTGAAAAATGAGGAAGTCAAAGTCTGGATGAGTTGAGGCAGTTACTCCCTTTCTCTGTGTGCGTGCCTTTAAATCACTGAGCACAAGAATACTCTGCTCTTGGGCAGACATGGGATTCATCCGTCCCCACTAATTTTCAGCTCTTCTCCAGCTGTCATCAAGAATGGGGGAGATTTTCAGCACCCAAATACAGTCAAAAAAGCAAGCAGAACGAATGGTCTGCCAGTTAGGTCCCCTCTCCCAACATGTGCCTTCCCAGCTGCCTCCCTCATTTTCCCCGTTCGTTCAGGTAGCCCACTGCCCAATCCCTTTTCCACTGAGGGCCAGGCCACCCCTCTTACCATCTCAGTGGTGTGCCTAGAAGTGAGTTGGGCGGAATCTTTGGATCAGGCCTCGGTGAAATGAAAGCCAGCCGAGTCAGCTTTTCCCACAGAGAGAAGGAGCAACGGAGGTGGGAGCAGGATCCACTCTGAGTCTTCTAGCATCTTTTTTGTGGCTGTCCACTTTCAGTTTGAGGGTCAGAGGAAGGTATGGCACTCGGGAGATAGGAAGGGGGGGGGAGGAATCCTCGACAGCAAGTCAGTCCAGACTAAAGCCACATCCTTTCTAAAGGGAACCGTTCCTTTCTCAGCAGTAAATCCACACTAAGCTTTGCTTCTTCACCCTTCTCTTCTAATCCATCTCCCCCAGTCTTCGCAGAACATCCGCATCTTTTCCCCCGGCTCCTTGGACTTGGGATGAAAGGCGGTTCTTTCTGTCCCTCTCTCTCTAGCGTGGGTGGTTATTTCTGTCACCTGAAAGACCAGCTGGGTTTCTTGCTGGCAGGCAGGCAGGCGAGCGTGTGTCTGTATGTGGCATACACAAGAGACAGGCAGAAAGTCTCCTCCCCAGAGCAATGCCAAAAGGGAGGAGGGAGGAGGACAAGGAGGTGCAAAGCGGAGGCCTTGTGGCAAATTACTGTTTTTTAAATGAAACCAAACATGTGCGTAGAGACCCAAACACATGCACACGTGTGGTGGTTCACACGCTCAGCGGCGGCTGCCCAGGGCACTTCCTACACCCCAGATTAGCTTGATTTGGAGAACAAGACAATCCCTCCCAATGGTCAATGTTGGAGCTGAGAAGCTACTTTACCTCTTCTGATCCCTAGGAGGAAAGAGGGGGAAACGCAGGCCAGATGGAGCAGCCCAGTAGAGCCAGATTCCCAGCAGGGCGGGCGGAGGGAGGGAGGGTTTCTGCACAGGCAGGGGTCCCGGAAGGGAAGAGTAGATGCCCTCAAGAGGACCGAGCAGAGGGATCCTTCCGCCCCTCCCCTCGGGCGCCTTCTGACATCGCTTGCTCCACGCGGGCTGCTCTTGGCGTGGTCCAGCCGGCTCCAGGATCCCAGAGGTGCCGCTGCTGGAGCTGCCGCTGCCCGTGGCTCATCCGCAAAGGAGGGGAGAGTTGGCCGGGCCGATCCTTCCTTCCTTCCTTCCTTCCTTCTAAAGTGGCCCCGACAGCTGCTCAGCCTTCGCTCGCCGGGGGGAAACGGGAGGCGGCGGGCGGCGGAGTCGCCTCTGCAGCCGGAGCGGGCTGCTTTCCGGCTCCTTGCATTGCATTGGGAAGGCAGGGAGGAGGCGGGGGCGGGGGGGGGTTGCCTGCCTGCCTGCCTGCCTCCCCCTCCCCGCCGCCACCGCGGTGAACCCCTCTCCTTACCCCACCCCGGACGCGCCCCGGCCCCGCTCCCACGCTCTGTTCCGGCGCTGTAGAGCCTGGGAAAGAGAAACAAGGAAAGATGGGAAAACCGAGTCCCCGCCGAGGCTGCCCAAATCCCACCCTCTTTTCCTCTGGTGCGAACGGAGGTAACCCTTTAAGCACCAACCCTCCATCTAAGGGGAAGAGACAGGGCCTCTCTTGGGCCGCGGAGAGCGTGGAGCTGGAAGCTCTGCCCTGCCAGGAAGCCCCAGGCCCTAATCCAAGGCTGGCGAGGCCCACGTGCTTAATCCATCGGAGAAGGAAAGGCACTTTGCACATGATCAGAAGCTCGCTTTCCTGTGATGTCTCTCGTGCTTGGCGGGCATTTAACGGAGATTTGAAGCCTTTGGGTCCATTCTGCTCTGGATTAGTGACGCTGTTGGTTTAGCGGGACATTATTAATATTCTGCTTTTCCCCCAGTGGGGATCCCAAAGCGAGTTTATAGCATGGTACTCCCCTCCTCCACAGTTTCCTCGCATCCACAACCTCTGAGGTAGGTTAGGCTGAGAGAAAGTGACTGGCCTGAGGTCACAGCAAGCCTCCATAGCAGAGTGGGGATTCAAACCTGGGGCTCCTAGTTCGGCACTTTAACCTCTACTCCAGAAGCCACAATGATAGATCCAAACCTAGGAGCTTCAAAAATCCCACTTGGCCTAAGTAGCCTGGGACAACTCACTTGCCCTGCACAATGGCTACAGAAGAAGACTGCTTTTCTGATACTAAGCTGCGTCAACCCTGGTTAATACTTGGATGGGAGACCACCATGGAAATCCAGAGTTTCTGTGCAGCAATATAAACTATCTCCCGAAGTCTCTTGCCTTGAAAACCCTACAGCAGGGATGTCAAACATAAGGCCCAGGGGCCGGAATCAGCCCATTCAGGGCTCTTATGTGGCCTGCAAGCAACTAGTGCAAGGGAGGTAACAGAAGATTGCTCAGAGGGTGTGGGCGGAGCCACTAGGATTGTGGCTTCAGCACTGCAGAACAACCTCTTCTGCAGCAATCAAGCAGAGTGGGAGTGTCTGCCCAGTGCTGCACCTCTGGCTCTCCAGTCTGCCTATATGGGTTTTCCTCTGAACCCCCCTCCCAGCCCACGGGGCCTTGCAGTGAAGATACACCAACTTGGAGCTTACCGGCTGCTGTCCTTTATACAGTTTATATCTCCAGTACCTGGCATTACAATTTATGGCACACATGACCCAGCCCAACAAAGTGACATTTATGTCAGATCCAGCCCTCGTAACAAATGAGTTTGACACCTTTGCCCTACAGGGGTCGCCAAAAACCCAGCTTGATGGCAAAAAAGAACACCTTTCCCAGGAAAAAGCCTAGAAGGCAGCTGACATAATAAAACCATTAATAACAACTTTAAAATGAAGTAAAACAACCACAAAAACAGCAGTACAATTTTTAGAAGTCATCGAGGGATTTATTAAAAAATTACAACTGGCAGTGTTCAAACAGCTGAATAAAAATGTTTCCACCTAAAAGACACCTAAAAATGTTTTTATCTACAATTTGTTGAATTAACAAAATTATGCTTGTTAGAAATGTTCGTGTGAATAGGCTCAAGTTGCCTGTGCTAGACTTTTGGAGGGTTTTGTTGTTGTTTTGTAAACTTTTACAAAGTTTTTTTAAGATTGATCAGAATACTTGTTATGTATATGATTCTTTTAAACTTTCAGAAAGATTCACAGGCACTGTCTTCCTGCCATCTGCTCAGCCATGCTGTCAAGTGGATCAGTATAATTATTCCCATATTGCAGATGGGAGGGTTGAGGCCAAGCATTTGCCTAAGGCTCGTTGTAACAGAGGGGACATTAAACCAAAGACTTTCCTGACTGAGGTAATGTACATGAAGAAGTGTTTTGAATTCCTGAAAGTTCCATACCCCATCGAAGCTTCTCCCTAAACTATGGCACTCCTCAGGCTCCACCCCCCAAATCTCCAGGTGTATCCCAACCTGGAGCTGGCAACCCTAGTGGACATGCTGCATATAATGAAATTTTAAGTCAAATATTGGAAACAAAGAAAAGCTCCTCAGCACAGAGGAGGCAACCACCACGTGTGGGGGCAGGGAGAATCAAGGAAGGGTAAAATACTCTGATGTTAAGGTTGGTTCTAGTTATGATGTATAAACTGGAAATGGTACCTAAAGATAACAGGAAACAAGAATTTGGTGTCCTATGTACAAGCTATAAAATATGAAATCATGCCAATGCGGATATGTCCAAATTCTCTATTTCTGTGACTCAGCCCGGTAGCCTGTCTTCAATTTATATTCCATAGCTGTCTTCAATTTATATTCCAAAAAATACAGAATGTTGTAAGCCACTTTTGATCCCAGTTGTGAAAAAGTGGGATATAAATGAAGCAAATAAAATCAATTAGTAAATGCTATGGCCAAATAACAAACAGTCAGTCCTTGAGCATTTAGAAAGGACAGCTGTGATTACTAAGAGCCAGCATGGGTTTCTCAAGAACAAGTCATGTCAGATTAACCTTATCTCTTTTTTTGAGAAAGTCACTGCCTTGCTGGATCAGGGGAATGCTGTAGACATAGGTTATCTTGATTTCAATAAGGCTTTTGATAAGTTTCCACATAATATCCTTGTTGACAAGTTGGTAAAATGTGGTTTGGATCCTATTACTGTTAGGTAGATCTTGATCACACCCAAAGAGTGCTTGTTAATGGTTCCTCATCCTCTTGGAGAGGAGTGACAAGTGGAGTGCCTCGAGGATCTGTCCTGGGACCTGTTTTGTTCAACATCTTTATAAATGATTTGGATGAAAGAACAGAAGGAATGCTTGTTAGATTTGCAGATGATACTAAATTGGGAAGGGTAGC